AGAGCGGATCAGAGAATACAAAAAGGTCAAGATGACCTTCAAATTCTTGCACCGGTTTCAAGTATTTTATTAGGTGAACTTGGAGTTTTTTCAAATAATGTTTACTTATCCCATCTAAAAACATTTCCTGTGTTTCAGACACAGCTTGAAATATGTAACTGCCAACAGCAAAGTCTGTGGGTTGTTTGGGGTTTTTTTGTTTTGTTTTTGTTTAAAGATGTGTTGTCAATGTGGTAAAATCATATACTCAAAAGAAAGGGAAAAAACAACAACAACATCAACAACGACAACAAAAAAGAAACAGAGAGAACTAACTGATTTGTCTGTCTTTCCTGTCAAGATCGCCCTCGCCTTGGCTTTGGTCAGAGGGAAGGACTTTATGTATGAGTCATACAAATGCTTGGCAAGTGCTCGTAGATCAGCAGATTCCGGGTTTAACTGGTCGATGTCGCTGGAAATCTCTGCCAAGAGCTTCTCCTTCTCCGCCTGTGGCATTCGCCCAAACCTGATGGCTGAAGAAGATGACAAGCAATTACTATGGCTATAGTTGCACTTAAAAAAGCATATTTGAATAGCTTTTTATGTCACCTTTTGTTAAGAGCTCTTGAAGTTTTTATTAAAACAGTTCTTAGGCAAGTAAGAAAAGTATTATTTTCTCCAGTAATATAGGCAAAACAGCTTTAAAGAAATGTAAATAAATAAATCTCAAAGAGGAAATAATCTATGTATGTGCCCAAACAGTAGGATTACAGTATCTTGCTTGGAAATGTATATATGTATAGTTGGCTCACCTGACAGAGTTGGTGAAAAACCACTGATTCTACCTCCAATCTAAATAAAATGTAAAGAATCTTTAAGATATTAAAATTCTGCTGGCTTAGGGTAGGAACCACCTTTCAGCTTTGTATTGTTTTAGGCAAATTCTTCATGAAACAAAACACTCACATGCCTTGCAGGAACAAATTCCTAAATAGTTCAACAGAACTTACTGTAGCGAGTGCTACACCAAAAGAATTAAGGAAGAAGAAATGAGGTTGTGCAGGGAATAAAAAAAGCCAGAAAAAGCCAGAGTTTCTAATGATAACTCTGTACGTGCAGCATTGAAAGAAGAGGAAACAGTTCTACCTATGATCTCACAATTGCTCAATGCCAACGTAAGGCAGGCTCAAAACCTCCTACTTTTACACATAGGTACTGACTATGCAAGACACAATTTATTTATATGAGGACTGACTTGGAAAATATATCAGATGAGCCATCAAGATCAAGACTGATTTATCATATGGTGTTTCAGTAAACAGAATTTCTTTTAGTTTATGAAAACAACAGAGAACAAAAGAGCATAAAAAACCCAAAACAAAACAGAAGGAACAAATAAAGGTTTGCATTTTGGCCTTAGGAGGAATAGAAATATTTTAAATATTTTTTCAGTGATTAGTGTCTTCCCTGGCTAAAGTAAAAGTGCTGTTCAGACCAAAGAGATGAATGATTATACTAGGGACGTTTATTTTGGAAATGACCAGCCACTTGCCTTTAATGAGTTTGCTTGCAGTGTGCTGACGGACAGAAATGACACAGTTTTCCAGGAATAAATAATTGTGCCAAATCCCATTAAAAACCCATTTGTCATATATTGTATTTATTGATCAGTTGCCTTATTTCATGGCTGCTGTTTATTTTTACAACTGTACTACATTTCTCTTTCAGCGAACTTAAGTCTCCAAGTGGTGCATACTGTAGCTTTCACACTTGCTTGGATATTCGTAGAGTCAACATGTCAGAATAAAAATCGTCACGAAAGGAAACCTAGTTCAATAGGTACAAATTAATATATTCTGCTTTTTTTTTTCCCCAGAAAAAGTCTGTTGCTTATAATTTTTTTCATATGGGAAATTTGGAATAATTGCCAACTGATATTTGTTTTGGATCATAGACACCATGGCATATGTACTTTTCTCTCTCTCATGGGAAACACTAAGTATTCTTAATCAGAAAACCAACAATAGTTTTCAGGGAGACATCACTGCTCTCGCTTCTTCTGAGAACAAAACATTTAAAGAAAAATCATTGACTTCATATCAGCTTATGTGACATACTGCAACGGCTCAAAGAGACTGACACGATTCTGTGAAGTAGTAACACGAATGGATGGACTTATGGTACTGTTAGTGATGTATCAAAATTTGATAGCAACCAATAAGATAAATGGATGAATTTAAAAAGTAAATAAATAGAAAGATAAAAAATTCAGCACGACTACAAAGAAATTAATTCAGCTACATATGCTTCCATGAACACTGGGAATCAAGACCATTTTGGTACTTTCTTTTTGCAGTTAAAATGGATTCTCTCGCTATTAAAAATTCTTACTTGTTAACAAAACTCCTTTGAGTTTGTTTAAAAACCATGTACATATGTTGATAACATTAAACCCACAATACTAATATCTGCATTTTAGACATTCTTGAAGATGTAAAATGAATGAAATAGGAGTGGTTAATGAAGTAAATAGGGTGAAAACTCTGAGAATATTTAATAGTATTTACAGAATTTTTTCTGATAACTAAGGACTGATTCAATAAAAAGAATCCCACTGTCATCAACATAATAAAGCTAAAATATATTACATACATATTGGCAGAAGTTTTTACAATGACCGCACATATAACTAAAATGTGGGGTCAAGAAAGCATTAAAGTAATAATAAAGTTCATAAAAGTGTTAAAGATTTAATTAAAATTCCATGGTGAACAGTGCAGCTAGACATTCATTAAATTCATATTTTCATTAAAAGCTGTTATGCTCTGCACTAAACCTGCTTTCAGCTCTAATATTAATTTCATATTAAATTTGTAACATTCATAGGATTATGTTTTATGATTAACTTGTCTGCTTTTCCAATGTTCATTTTGCAATAGCTTCATCAATGGAAACAAATACATCTTGTGACACTTTAATGCTCCTGATTGCGCTCTTGCCCACAAGTTCAACTCCTCCTCACCATCTGTTTTTGAAGAGGAATTTGCAACCTGAAGACCTAAGTGAAGCCTAGCAAGACTTCTCAGGCTATTACAGGGGACCCTTTAATCTGGATAGAAAGAAAGGCAAATATTAGCCTCATATAAAGGACTGTTAATAAAAAAGGGAGATCAGAGTTGCCCATGCCTATAAAATGTTGATCACTTCCTGAAATCTATGGAGTGCAATTTATTACGACCTGAAGACTTCTTAACACATAACAAGAAATCCTTAGGAACTCTGAGGAGCACGTCCTTTGAGACATTTCACAATCACAGCAGGAGCCAGGTGTGCTTTGGGCCAGAAAAATGGTTTTTTATTACAAATTCAACTTGTAAACTGTTTTTATATTTTATATGGAATACATGTATAACATGACATATAGTATCTTTATAATACGTTTACGATAAGTGATGCATCCCCAACAGCCTGATGTGAATTCTATCAGCTCGTTGTGTAAGCACACCGACTCTCAGTACTAGGGGAATGGAGCCTGACTGAACACCAGTCTGACATATGGTTCTCTTCTGGGCCTAATCGTGAGAGTTAGGTTTGGAGAAGCAAATAATTTGGAATCTCCCTGGCATACGACTCCCTTTCTTTAAGGTTGATTTTACAAACAAGGGATACAAATTCCTCACCCCCCACCCCTTTTAATCAAGCATCTACTGGAATATTCTTAATGATACACCAGAGCATATACAGCAGCTATGACACCCATCACTGAAATAGAATTGTTTAATGTAGAGATCCTATTGAAAAGATCAGGGATTTTCAAGACAGAGGTTGTTTTGTCACTCGAGAATAACTGACTAAGCTGTACAATTGTATTCTTTTAAAGAACAGGACTCAGACTGGTAACAAACATCCTGCTGGAAATTCAGACATGGGGGGAAAGACTAGGGCCTGTTATTCCAAGTAAGTTTACCAGAATTGAAAGGGGCAGTTTCTATTTTAAAATTTATGGCAGTTTTCCACATAACTGTACCTATCTACTGTGACACTGATCCTGCCAGTATGAAACAGGCTTCCTTGTAGTTTTGAGTATAAAGTGACAGCATAGTACATTTACGATGTTTTCTAAATATGCCCCTTATCCTACACCCTGATTCCTGTGCAGTCTCATGTCTGAGAGTCTCTTGGAAAGTAAACTGCAGCACTCACACTAGCAATTCAGTATTGCTAAACTACAGGTTGTTGAGAGGTCTCTGTTAAAAGTTTACAATAGCAGTGGTGTAGAATTCATAACAAATGACAACTTACATTATGTTTATTATTTTAATGGGAAATAAGATTGACTAAGGGTGTTCCAGAACCATGTTTCTGGTGTGATTATCTATCCGCAGCAAAGGATAATGAATTACCTTTGCAAAGCAGGCATGTGTTATAAGCCCTGGTGCTTATAAGATAAAATTATTTCCATTAATTTACAGATTGCATTAGAGTTCTTCACACTGTTAATATTTCATTTACTGTTCTAGAGTAGATGCCTACTTTTACTTATTTACCTTTATCTTCCTTGTGATGGTGATACTTATTTTCCTAAAAAGTGCTTTGAGATCTCTGCATGAAAAGTTATTACTTTGCTGTTTGTTTCCGTACTCTTCCTTGTTGGAATCATGTCTAATTTTTTGTTTCCATGTGTTTGAGAATTTGTATAATTTTTGCATACACAGTCAAAAAACCCCGAGAACATTAAAGTTAAATCAGAACATTGTCTTCACTGTGCTAAATTTTATGAATACATGCACCCTTACATATAATCTATCTTGGAGTTAAAGCCCAAAGATGCATAGGAAGACTATATCAAATGATACATAATTAAAGCAGCATATAAATTTGCTATATATTTTTAAGGAATATTTGGCATATGTTTGGCTTGGGGCCTCATCCTTGCTAATTTTTCTACAAAGATCAGATTCCTGTTGTGGGTTTTTTTTTTAAACAAGATTATTTTAAATTCCTTCTGTATAAACAAAAAAGAAAAAAAATCATAAATAAATAGTACTGCCAAAGGTAACATTGAATTATATAGCAAGGCTGTTAGGATCCCAAGACTACTTTGACAGAAAATTAGCAGATATTTTGTTTTATGGGAAACTGGGTTACACTCATTAACTTCTGTTCTTGATTGCTTGCATGCTGCATTCAGAATTGAGTCAGGTACAAACCAAGCTTACTCATAGCACAGAAAGCTCATGATGTTCAACAAGGCCAAGTGCAAGGTCCTGCACCTGGGTAGGGGCAATCCCAAGCACAAATCCAGGCTGAGTGGAGAACGGCTCAGAGCAGTCCTGAGGAAGAGGACTTGGAGGTGTTGGTTGATGAAAAACTCAACATGAGCTGGCAATGGGCACTTGCAGCCCAGAAGACCAACCAAGTGTGGCCAGCAGGGCCAGGGAGGTGATTCTGCCCCTCAGCTCTGCTCTGGTGAGACCCCACCTGGATACTGCGTCCAGTTCTGGAGTCCCCAATATAAGAAGGCCATGGAGCTGTTGAAGCGGGTCCAGAGGAGGCCATGAAGATGATCAGGGGCTGAAGCATCTCCCCTGTGAGGGCTGGCTGAGAGAACTGGGGTTGTTCAGTCTGGAGAAGAGAAAGCTTTGGGGCACGTTATTGCAGCCTTCCAGTTCCTGAAGGGGTCCTACAGGAAAGCTGGGGAGGGACTTTTTACAAGGGCAGGTAGTGATAGAATGAGGGGGAACGGTTTTAAACTGGAAGAGGGGAGATTTAAACCGGATATTAGGAAGAAATTCTTCCCTGTGATGGTGATGAGCACTGGCCCAGGTTGCCCAGAGGAGCTGTGGATGCCCCCTCCCTGGCAGTGCCCAAGGCCAGGTTGGACAGGGCCTAGAGCAGCCTGGGCTGGTGGAGGTGTCCTTGCCCATGACAGGAATTGGACTGAGTGAGCTTTAAGTCCCTTCCAACCCAAACCATTCTATGATTCTGTGATATGATTCTGTGATTTCTGATGGTTGAGGAAAATTTCAAGGATGGGTGGCATCCTTTTCTGCTTCTCTCTCCACCACCCTTCTGTGACCTCATCTCCTCTT